TTCACTTATTCTAGGCACTGTACATAATAAGAATATTACACTTAACATAATAAGAATAACTGAAACATTGTCTTAAGCAAATTCATCATGTCTATTTAGGATTTTTTTTTAAAATCACTTTCCATATATGCAGATAAATATACAATGGAAAGTTTGATAGATTTTTAACACAAATTTGCCATATTCTTTTCTTTGAGTAAAATGCTGGGTTGTTTCAACCCATGTTTGGGTCAAATATGGACAAACCCAACCATTGGGTTTAAAAATGTAATTAAAAAATGTAACCCAACAGTTGGGTTTGTCCATATTTAACCCAAACTTGTGTTAAAACACCCCAGCATTTTACTCAAAGAAAAGAATATGGCAAATTTTTTAAATGCAATTTAAAACTTATTACAGACATAACCATTATGATTATGTATGACTTTTATTCAAATTAGCAATAGCACAAAATAAACACAACTGAACAAAGTTGTAATCATGTAAAATAACACTGCATAGTTCTTTTTATAAATGAAAAATGGATTAATCCTTATTAAAGCTACAAAAGTTATTCAGTCAAGATCAGTGAGTAATTTTCTCTTTCTTTTGTAGCATTTTGATTAACATTGACACAGACCGCAGCAGGTTTATTAGGCTGCTGTCACTACGGGGCTGTTTACACCTGGCCACTTCATGCGTTTTCCGTGATCGGATAGCTATCCGATCGTGAAAAGACCAGGTGTAAATGCCCTCTGAAACGCATTCGAGACGGATTTAAATCCGATCACTCAAACCACTTCAGGAGGTGGTCTGGGCCGCATTCCAGATGAAACTGGACAAGTGTAAATGCATCTGGTTTTTGAAACCACATATGTAAATTTTACTCCTACCAAAAATGCTAAAAACTAAACGTGTGAGAGCGTGTTATATAGGCTATATGTCATTATAGTCAGATATGACGACGCTACTGCAACACGCATTACCGCAGATGAGAAGCTGAGCATCTCTTCATCAATCCAACGTGCAAACTATCGCAAATCAAAGTGAAAGTAAGTCGCAGACGCTTAACACACAATCATCTTCATTAAAAGTAAAGAAAGGAAATGATCTTACCAGGGCTGTTGCCGCTCTCTCTTATCGCCGTCTTTGATTTTGAAATTAGCTGATGATCAATAAAATGCAGCTCAAATCTGTTGCTTTCGGTGACGTGCACTCCATTAAATCTGCATATAGCGCGGGAATTGAAAATCGAATTTATATCCGTTTTGCAAAAACACATTTATGTGACCAGGTGTAAATGGAATCGTTTTGATAAATCAGATAGCTATCCGATCTGAGAAAACGCATGAAGTGGCCAGGTGTAAACAGCCCCTAAGACCTAAATCACAGATCCGATACACTGTCACACATGCGTTTTCTTTCTCAACTGTTTACGTTCACTTAAGACAAAACTGACTGTGTTTACGATGATATTTTGTAATAATTTTGTGCGTATTTGTCCGTTCAAGCGCAAGAAGGCATGAAAGAGAACTCAATTCAGTATTGGCAGCATAGAAAGTAGCGCGTGGGTGCCGAATTTAGTTCCCTTTCACGTCTTCTAGCGGAATCAAAATGCACAATGTCTTGAATGCCTTATCAGATCCACGGTTCTTGGGAATTTGGAACCGGTTCTTGATATCCAACCCTACATGTAACTAAGCTTTAATTAAACAATTTTAAAATACCATGTATTTGTCCATGTTGTCCATTTTTATATTTGAATTGAATAATTTCCTTTTTTTTATTTTTTATTGGCACTCTCTTTTTTATGTGCCATATTTCTGCTGGAAGAAACGGTTCCTCACATGTTTTGTTACTCTATTGTGTATTATAGCATGCTTGGTTTGGCCAAGCATAAACCAGAACTATCCAGTTTAAAAAGCCATTTATAAAGAAAATAATGTAAAATACTACATAGTTCCTCTTTTTTAGTGCTGACTCTTCACATATTCTGTGTGTTATGATATAGACATAGACTAGTACATACAGGGCCGGATTAAGAATTCAGAGGGCCCTGGGCACAATGTCTTGTAGGCCCCCCCTAGGCAGGCCAAATGTAGTTTGTCCAAGGACATTTTAATTTGGCATTAACTGTATTACTGACTTAAAAGGAACTTTGTTGTACATATTACTTCATAAATGATCTGTGTTTCCCATAGGATTTTATAAAACTATGTTGGGTGGAACTCTATCCCTCTAGGGGGGTTCGGGGGCATGCTCCCCCGCAAGAAAATTTTGTACATTTTAAGGTTAAATGCATCAATCTGGTGCACTTTGAGAGCTCACAATTAAGAGCTTCAACCGGCTTTAACCCATGAACTGTGCACATTGAACAAAGAAAAAGCATTGACTTGTACCTGGACATTAAAGAGGGCTCAAACATCTTTTTAGTTATGATATAGAGTCTCAGTCTGCATTACATTATCACTGGTGTTTTAGGATGCCAAACAATTATTATAATAATGATTTATATAATTATTCCTATGACGTAAAATCATATACCTCCTATAAATGTAGCCTAAAAGTATTTTGCATTACATTACACAGTATAGGAAAAGTACAATACTTTTGTCCTAATTTCTTTAATTGCCAGAAATAAACCCTTGAGCTTTCATTTTGGAGAAAACACCAGATCACCATGCTGATCGCGTGAGCAAAGTGCGCACTTCTATTTAAATCACGCAGCACAAACAGAATGCCTAGGCTACTTAAAGTCTTTTGCTGTTTTATAACGGCACGAAGCAATATCACAGTTTCAATTTGACTTCGTTGGCAAAATATAACGCTAAACAGTCGAGACTTTTATGTTAGGCAACCGTAGGCAACTGCTTCTCCATCACTTCAAATTTCAGAGCGTCAAGTCACGCGACGCGAGTCGACATGATAGCTCGCTCTCGCTCACTGCGCAGGAATACAGACGCTGTTTTTGACGCGATTTAACATTATATTTTGATCGAATGGGTTGCAAAAATATGCATATAATTAGGAAAGTGAGGACTGCGTTTATAACTTGATCTAACATAATATTTGACGGTGCGCAGGGCCCCTTAGATGTCATGTGCCCCTGGGCAAGTGACCAGTTGCCCTAATGGTTAATCCGGCCCTGAGTACATAGTGTCTTGCATTTGGCCAGGTAATCTGACACACATTCTCTTTGACCACTTTTTAGGCAGCAATGTCGGAAAAAGTGAGAAAAAAGCTTAACGCACACAATAAATGCATAGATAATTGCAAAAATCGACTCACAACTAGACACTGACTTTATGAGACTGACTTTATACCATAAGGCCTAGAGAGGTTATTTTTAAAAAAACAGAATTGTCTAGTTGCATCAGAATGATTTTGCTAAATTCAGTTTCTAAATGGCACAGAGGAAATGAGCAGGCCCTTGTCCTCCCAGCATGCCTGCCTGTCTGTCACTTCACCTGCGTGTCCTTTTTGAAGCAGGAGGAAACTATTAATTTTCTCTACAGGAAAGTAAGCCACTTATTCACTGACTCATTCAGGTACTAAGAAGCACTGCAAGAAATCCAATATCGGTGTTTTTTTGCCACCGTTTGAATGGGCTTTTTAATGGAACCAATGTACTATTCATGGACGAACAAGTAGGTACGTTTTAAATTTCCAGGAAGGAAATTTCAAGCCTTTTTTTTCTCTCATGTCCTTTTATTGTACCAAGTTGAGCTGTATATTATATGTATCCCTTTAGATTCTTAAGGTAAGTACTTCCAGACGCCTATGTCAAATGAACCTAAATGAACACTTTCCTCAAATCTAAATTTAAAAAACAGTATAATCTTTACAGGTGTCCAAGTAAAAGCAGTTGTATGTGGAATTTCCCTCTATGAGGTTGCCGGGTTGCCTCCTGTTGCGCACCGATCTCTGTCATCTTACCAGATCATAGCAGTTTCGACACAGATATATTCCCCCGCCTCCTTGAGACGAGGCAGCTGAAGTGTCTTTGTTCTGCTCCATTACTCGCGGTTAGGAGCTGCGATTCGTCTCCATCTGCTGCTTCTGTCGCGCCTCACCAACTTCGGTTTCCCCCAGACACGGTCACCGAATATAAAAAAATGAAATTACTGAAAAGTGGCGAAGTGTTTTCATGGTCTCATGTGCAGATTTGCCACTCTCTCAGCGGGGCCTTTTCTCTCTCTAATGAATCATTGTGTTTTGTGAATTTAATTGAATTTTGGCTTGTTACTTCAGTTCGTTCCTTGTGTCTGTAATATGCATATAAGGACAAGTTTATGGAAACAAGTATGTAATCTGTATTAAATGTGCTGTAGCCTTTCAGGAACCTCTGCCAAATTTGGACATGAATTTACAAAACTGTTGAAGCACTGTTGAAGCAATTATAATAATAAGGAAATTAAAAAAAATACTAGAACACATGCCAAATTCTTAGAAACCTACTTTTTGTATTGTCGTTTGTTATGTACAGTGCTCGAGGTGTGTATAATGCACACATTTCGAGAATTATTCGTTTGTAAACTATATTACATTTTTGGGGAGTTGCACCACATGACATGTAACTATTTTAATCAACGGCATAATAAAAGTTAAAATTTACTAAAATTTGAAGACTTATTGACCCTGACATATTGACTAATCGTTTTACTGAGAATTAATAATAATAAAAATGCCAAATTACTCAATATTAAAGTTTAATTTTTTTTCTTGAAAAATATTTTAATAAAAAAAAAAAACATTTCTTCTTGTATCACAACAATGTATTTTAATTCAGAAATTAAACAATTTTCTTCAAGTGGTGAATTGGAATGAATTAATCTTATGTATGATCTGAATTTATAATGCACTTTTAATGTATTTTTGAATTAATGGGTGTCATGCCATTGACATAATAATCTCAGTACCTCAGTATCTTAAAGTATGTCTTAGCAATACTTGATATGAAAAGCTTTCTAAAGTTCATCATAATGTACGGAAGGATTCACCCTGTCTGTTTCTTCCGACAGGGCTTTCTGAAGAGCGAGCGAGTGGCCCGCATGGTCCAGGGCGGAGGCTGTTCTGCCAGTGACTTCCGTGAGATCTTCAAGAAGAACATCGAGCGTCGTGTACGCAGCCTGCCCGAGATCGACGGCTTGAGCAAAGAGACTGTCCTCAGCTCCTGGATCACCAAATACGATGCCATCTATAAAGGAGAAGAGGACCGGCGGCCTCAGGGACGCATGCCCTTCAGCGCTGTGTCCGAGCTCATCCTCAGCAAGGAGCAGCTTTATGAGATGTTTCAGCAGATCCTGGGAGTCAAGAAGTTTGAACATCAGCTGCTCTACAATGCCCTCCAGGTCAGTAGTAGCTGAGTTTTAAGGGTCTGTAATGGGTTTTTTCGAAAGTACTGGATGGTATTATATAGGGCGGTACAATAAATTTAAATAAAAGCAAAACCATGGATCTCTGCATCTGCTCTGAGTTTGCGTCGCTTTAACGTGCCTTTGGGAAGACATGTGCCAACCAACTTTCCAAACATCTAATGCAGTGTTTGTCAACAGAAGAGAAGCTATATGAGCTCCCTGCAGGTTTCTGTCAAAACAAAAGTTTGATGGTTTAACTTTTGAAAATGAAGAAAATAATGGTGCGTCCCATTTGTCCTCAGAAGTGGGAAATTCCTCGGTCCCAGTAAGAACTTTTAACTGGAACGCCCACTCAAGTCGGAGTTGCGATTTGGGAAACTCAGGGAAAGTGCAACAATCCTGACTTAAGAATCTAATATGGCTGTTCAGCGCATAAACCATAGTGAAACCGTTGTAATATATTGTTTATTAGCAGTTCTGTTTGTCTGTCTCACAATAAACTCAGTGGTGCACACAGTACTATCCATCCTCTTGTTCATACAGATAACTCTTATCTGTATGAATAAAAATGATGGAGTATTTAAGTTGTTTCCGCTTTTGTCAGGAAAAAATGCAAGTGATACTTTAGCTCCCACACTCCTCCGACCAACACTTGGATATGCTGCTAATAATAGCGCACATTTATCTAGGCTAACGTTAGTGCGAGCGGCCATATAAAGTTGCTACTTACAGTACGTTTCAAGTGATAAACCATATTTGAGGTTGATGGATGAAAGGCGAACGTTTGGATTTCCTGCCCGACACACTGCAATACCACAAGGACCCGCCGTTGACAATCTGTCATAGACCAAATATGGCAGAGTGCTTTTGAGAGATTTCAAAAGTCTGGGAGTTTGACCATAACAGCTTCATTTCTGTGACTTTTAAAAATGGCTGACGCCACAATTCAAAACATTTGTAAAAAAAAAAAAGAGCAGTCATAATTATCAGTTGTGTTTGATTTTTTTTTTTCACAATCCTTCTTATAAATAAATATCTCAGGAAAAAAATCTGTGAGTTTTCAAAGCAGAGTAACATTCATTTTTCATTGTTCTCTGACATTGTGTCATGTTCTGTAGTGTTAGAAAAATTGCCCAATTTCCCTGAATGTCCTCAAAGGGGATTTTACAAAGGACAGAAATAAATTGTTGGGTCACAGATTCCTTTAGCAGATTTTTTGGACAAAGGATTTTGGTCCCAGTGTTCGCCTTGCAATCGTAAAAGGTCCGCTGGTACCAAAACGTTTAAGTCTTTTTGTGCTTTTGGTGTATAATCAATTTTCTTCCAAAAATGGAAGTGAATTGCATATCATACATTATTGAGTGAAGGTGCAAAATATCCTTAATATTGAATAAAATATTGTGTAGACATTGCATTTACACTGTGGTGGTCACATTTTTTTATGCTGATTTTAGGAAAATATGTGGAATTCTGCAGAACTATAGTACCTTATTTTCTGGAAAATAATCCACACCTGACTATGCCAAGTCACACTTTGTCAAAATTGCATTGTTGAGAGAAAGAAAAACGCACATATTTTGCAACAGTGTATCAGTCACATTTTATCATTACATTCAGAAATGATGTAAAATACCAGTAAATAAAACACTATAAACACGTATTTTAGTTCCCTTCTCTCCACAACAGATCCTTAAATTTAACAGAATTCAGAAAAGGAATTAATAATATACAGTGCATCCGGAAAGTATTCACAGCGCTTCACTGTTTTCACATTTTCTTATGTTACAGCCTTATTCCAAAATGGATTAAATTCATTATTTTCCTCAAAATTCAACAAACAATACCCCATAATGACAACGTGAAAGAAGTTTGTTTGAAATCTTTGCAAATTTATTAAAAATAAAAAACGAAAAAATCACATGTACATAAGTGTTCACAGCCTTTGCCATGACACTTAAATTGAGCTCAGGTGCATCCTGTTTCCACTGATCATCCTTGATGTTTCTACAACTTGATTGGAGTCCACCTGCGGTAAATTCAGTTGATTGGACATGATTTGGAAAGGCACACACCTGTCTATATAAGGTCCCACAGTTAACAGTGCAATGTCAGAGCACAAGCCAAGCCATGAAGTCCAAGGAATTGTCTGAAGACCTCCGAGACAGGATTGTATCGAGGCACAGACAAATTTCTGCAGCATTGAAGGTCCCCATGAGCACAGTGCCCTCCATCATCCGTAAGTGGAAGAAGTTTGGAACCACCAGGACTCTTTCTAGAGCTGGCCGCCCAGCAAAACTGAGCAATCGGGGGAGAAGCGCCTTAGTCAGGGAGGTGACCAAGAACCCGATGGGCACTATGACAGAGCTCCAGCGTTTCTCTGTGGAGAGTGGAGAACCTTCCAGAAGAACAACCATCTCTTCAGCACTCCACCAATCAGGCACCTGAAGGACTCTCATACCATGAGAAACAAAATTCTCTGGTCTGATGAAACAAAGATTGAACTCTTTGGCCTGAATGGAAAGCGTCATGTCTGGGGGAAACCAGGCACCGCTCATCACCTGGCCAATACCATCCCTGAAGCATGGTGGTGACAGCATCATGCTGTGGGGATGTTTTTCAGCGACAGGAACTGGGAGACTAGTCAGGATCGAGGGAAAGATGAATGCAGCAATGTACAGAGACATCCTTGATATGAACCTACTCCAGAGCGCTCTGGACCTCAGACTGGGGCGACGGTTTATCTTCCAACAGGACAACGACCCTAAGCACACAGCCAAGATAACAAAGGAGTGGCTACGGGACAACTCTGAATGTCCTTGAGTGGCCCAGCCAGAGCCTAGACTTGAACCCGATTGAACATCTCTGAAGAGATCTGAAAATGGCTGTGCACCGACGCTCCCCATCCAACCTGATGGAGCTAGAGAGGTTCTGCAAAGAAGAATGGGAGAAACTGCCCAAAAAAAGCTGTGCCAAGCTTGTAGCATCATACTCTTAAGAGGCTGTAATTGGTGCCAAAGGTGCTTCAACAAAGCATTGAGCAAAGGCTGTGAATACTTATACATGTGATTTATTTTTCTTTTTAATAAAGTTGCAAAGATTTCAAACAAACTTCTTTCACGTTGTCATTATGGGGTATTGTTTGTATAATTTTGAGGAAAATAGTGAATTTAATCCATTTTGGAATAAGGCTGTAACATAACAAAGTGAAGCGCTGTGAATCCTTTCCGGATGCACTATGTATAAACACATTTTTTAGTGGCATTCTTTATAAACAAAATTTATTACAAACGGCAAGCTTATACACATTTATTTAAAACAACACTGAAACTATCGGCATGTGGAAAATGGATTTGACTAATAAACTTAGACTCGCGCATCTCTCTCATTAGGTGCAAATCTAAATGTCGCTTTGGAATGTCACAGCATGTTTCAGATAATAAAAAAAAACTTGGCTTACATTCCAGAAAATACAGTACTTGGAGAAATGTTTAAAATTTGATTAGATATATCTCAACTTAAAGGCTTACAAATGACAAACAACCCAGGACAAAAAGCTTTTCTTTCGGAATTGAATGATTTTTGACAATTACATGTCGTGTGGATAGTTTTCCCTATAATCACAGTGTGCAGTTTGGTGCCTTTAATCCTTTGCCCTTTACCTTAATCACCTGAGCACAGGTGGCTTTATCCCATCATCAGCCTCTTTGAAAACATCTCAGAAAGGTCAGGGGTTGATAGGAAATGGTCCAACTGGCTTGCCCTCCTGTTATCTTTCACTAGCCTTTCCCCAGGGGACAGGAGGAGTGAAAGAGATGTGGTGGGTGGTCTTCACTGACGTCTCTTTTCATCGCAATTGCAGTTAGCAGATCAGTGCAATTAGGCTGGTTGAGCCCAGCATTAATTGGCACGTTTGGCATCTAACTGAGATCTTATGTTTGGGTAAAAGCAGGGGACTTCACATTATGCTTAATATATCCTTTTTAAATTATCTTCGAGTTTGTTTGTTATTTACAATAATTTATTTATATGTATTTATTTAAATCTATTTATCTAAATGTATTTTTATTGAATTTATTTTTTATTTAAATATATTTATCTATTTATTTTTGCTGTTTTACTTGCTATTGTTCTACATCTTAAAATACTGTGCTGGGTTCAATACAAGTGATGATGCAAATAATTTCATCCCTTCATTTGTAAAAAAAAAAAAAACAAGCAAAAATCACATTTACGGTAACACTTACAATGGAAGTCTATTTGGCTAGTGTTCTGAAAGGTTTAAAAGCTGAAATATGCAGTGCATGGATGGCATATATTAATTGTTACCTGCAAAAATGTTTTGTTTGAGCTGTGAAACTGTCTTGGTCGTTCTGTTGTAGGTGGATGAACTCCATTGGTTATGCGATATAATTGGACAGACAAGGTTAGTAAGCAATTTTTAAAGCATAATTTTAACACATGTAATGTTGAAGTATTGTGGCAATAATATCAAAACAGTGTGTTTTAACATGAATTCAAGTGCAGTGTCTTGCAGGATAGACTTCCATTGTAAATGCATTATTGTAAACACAATTTTGCTTTCTTTTACAAACTGAGGGAAGAATCGCAATTATTGTATGTAGTAATCGACAGCATGTCACAAATGCTTTTGAGAGGCTTAACTTGTTTTGAACCTTGAGCAAAAAAGGAAAAGTGGGATCTTTTTTTCTTTCGGTTTAAATGGTGCGCCTCTGTGTTCATTTGTTTCGTGCAGGGATCTCTTGCCATTAAGCACAGCATTGCTTTTAAACTGCACATCTACGATCCAGAAGGCAGCATGTAGTTTTCTGAAAGCTTGCACACAGATCTCATGTACATTTTCTGAATCCTCTTTTCGTACTTTATATTGTTAGACTAATGAGGTGAAATTACAGCTTGGTTCCAATCAAATCAAGCTTGAACTACTGGTGCTAATCTCTCTCAGCGCTTATTAAGAATTTAAGCACCTGTGTGTG